CGAGGACTTTCCCTGCCCGGGAGCGCCGCACATGCGTGGTTCCGCCCCCTGCACCAGCTGAGGCGTAGCTGGCAAGCGGCAGAGACGGAGCAGGCCGACCACCAGCTGGCCCAGCTCAAGGGAGGTAAGGCACCTGCCGGAAAAGGGGGAAAAAAATGGCAGACAGCCTTGCTTGGCGACCCCCGTGAAATGGTTGATCGACCCCAAATGGGGTCGCGACCCATAGGTTGAGAACCGCTGCACTAGAACAAACTGGCTCTTTAGCATCTGTGGCAAAATGTAATGATACATGTAAATTAATTTATATGACTATTTATGTAACCTTCTATATTGATCCACATACAACCTAATAAGCTACAGCAAAAAGCACTGATTTATATGTAACATTTAGCATGAGTATAAAATGTTAAAATAGCTGAAGTGAAGCACACAAAATAACTGTGAGATTTAATCAATGGATAGCAACTGGGTAACAATATCAACCTGAGGAAGTGCTTCTGATTATAATGAGCAAGTGATAACAAAGAATGTCAAAAGAAAGCTGCAAGAAGATGATAAGAAAGATACTATTCTCACAACAAGCCTGGTTTCTCAACAAAAATTCCTTTGTAGATTTATGCAAGGCCTACTGAAATGAACAGCAAGTTCTTGGACATTTACTGATAAGGAAGCATGAAGTCTTTGAGAGACTGGCTCTTTGTAAGCAAAAGGTTACAAAGTCTGTTCACTATGTACAGTACATGATCATACATAAATACAGCATCTATGCCAGCGGTACAATGCAGCCTATAAATTAATAAGAACTGTTATGTGTTAAACTCTCTCTTTACTACAATTATGCATATGCATTATAAGTAAGCAAGAGTTACAAAAACACTGGATTTATTTCTATCAAATTCATTACGACAGATAAATCATATGATTATTCTGGACTTTTGCATTTGAATATACATTTTAAATCCTGATCAAGCCAGTGCTGTAAAAGTCCCTTACTGGGAAGAAGAAAGATACAAAATTTTAACAAATTAAAAGAGTTCATCTGGATAAATAGTTTAAACCAAACTTACCTTCTCTAAATCAGTTTCAGTTGTCAATATTCCATGGATGAAAAATTGATCATTCTGGAAATAAGAGAAGAAAAGGCTTGTCAACAAGAATAGTCATACACTTTCTTTCTGTTATAATGTCTTGTTTGTTAGGGAGAGCAGGAATGCACAGTACTTAACCTTGGAGAGCACATAGACAACACCAGTGATAAGTGATTGTTATATAAAACCACAAACTTGGAAATACTAAAATACAACTCTCACTCTTATTTTTTTGGCTCAATAACTTTTCAAACTTTCAATTTTTCAAAATGAAGTCATTGGACTAGATTTTACAGACCTAAGAGTTTCAAATAACCACTACTAAGTTAGAGCAGGGTTTTTTTTTAACTTCAACTGAACTTGGAAGTCCTAAGAAAGACAATGACAACTAATAATTGTGGAAGTCCTAAGAAAGACAATGACTTCCTTGGAAGTCCTAAGAAAGACAATGACAACAAAAGTCCTAATGACAACTGATAATTTTCTGAAATACACTGTTCTTTAAGAAATATGCAGCCATTGTATGAACATTGTGGATACCTTAAAAAATTTAAAAACTTACTGCAAATTTTTTTACTATATCAGTAACGTCTTCTAAAATCTCAATTTGACAGAGTTTCTCCAAATTTAGTTCATCAAATTGACAACTGTTGAATGCAGAAAAAAAGATGTTAAAAATCCATTATGTATTATTATTTATGAAATTCTATACCCTTGGAAATATGTAATTTATTTTTTTTAAAAAGGAACATTACAACATATGTTTTATATTTGTATTTATGCCTGAAACCACAGGTAGTATTCCTCATTCATTCAATAAATCAAATACTTAGCATACCTATGAAAGAACTGCATTCTGGGACTTAACACATAATATCTTTAGGATTAGTGCTTCAAGCCACTGAAGTTGGTTTTAACACAATTACTTTTCTCAATGTCACTCTTAATAACTTGCTCCAATATATTTCTTGTTAATTTATTCCATAATCTGTTAACTGCTTTTCATAAGGTCTTGTAAAACATATATATGTTTCTATGTTTTAACTTTTAAAAATACAGTGGACAGACAGAATGCAAATAAATATTTGTTTACCTGGGATCATGGCATTTCTTACTGGGATCACAAGGAGGTACAAATAAAAGTGGTCTAAAAGTGCATATTTTAATTATGTCACAGTATTTCTGCAGCTGAAGAACAGGTTTGCTGCACCACATTTTGCAGATATCACCTATGGCACAAAATTGGGAAAGATGGGGAGAGGGGGCAGAGAAAGACAAAAATCAAAAACAAAGGTCTAGTAATTCTCCAAGCCCAAGGATCTAACTAGTGGGTATCAAATATGTTGCCATCTTGTCTTTGTATAGCAAGATATTATTATTATTATTATTATTATTATTATTATTATTATTATTA